TGAACATCGCAGTTTCTTAAGTCCATCTGGAAAAGCAAAAATCTCTGAACATTTCCACAAGGGCATGACGAGGAGGCATGTTTGGGGCCACACCACGGAAGGAACGCTCACCTGCGACCGAAGTTTCCATATAATTCCTTACAGACAAGTGACCGTAGTCTACGACAGTGAAGGAAATTGTTCGCTATCTTCACAGCTTTCTGCAAAACATCTCTGAAAATGGAAAATGTCACATAATAGGCCCACTATGCCTGCTGAGAACTGTTCAAAGATTCCACTTGATATACAGAGGATGGGATATTGAGAGCAGAGGGAACACGTAAAGCCAGTAAGCGCTTAAAAACGAAATGAAGATCTAAGAATTCGGAAAATAACATTCATCTAATCTCACAATGTAGTGAGAGTGAGTTTCGCGTGAATTTTGCAGTTTTTACGGCGAGTACTGTATCATAGCCCCCACGACGTCACGGCAATAAAAGAACACAAAAGAAAAAACTCAAGTAACAACTAGAATCGAAAAGAATTCAGGAATGGAAACGGAAATGTCTGCGAATGATTCATTTTAGTGCAAGAATGCGTGCGACACACCAGTCGTAACTTTGCAGAAAGGCAACGGCAGTACACGATGCTCGGTCTTTCCGAGCGTCCCTATCCCCGACTGCATCAGCCGATGGTTGGCGCAGTGGCAGTGGTGCCACTTCTCGGATTATACGCAAAGTAATCGATTCCGGTCGAAGCAGCAGTTTTGCTGGCGACGTACTAAAGGTCGACATTCACATCATGGTCATCTCGCTGACACTTTACTACCGTCCCTGATTACGGTTATGACAGTCGTTTTTGGCATAAACTTTGCTCGATGCATATTTCTCAATATAGCCGGTGGAAGGGCGCTGACGAGCGGCAAATAGATGCGCAATGGCGCCAGCACCAAAATGAATAATATTCCTTCAGGGCTCGAAATAACCCTTATACACAAGTTTACAGCGAATTATATGGGAGCCATTCGAGGCGCTCGCTGGCGCCAAATGACGCCATCGTCAGAAAGGACGTCTTGTTCGTGATTCAGTCCTAGACCCCCGAAGAATAACCCTGTGGAATGACTTTTAGCGGAATTTTTGCCGAAATTGATTGCAAGGTTCACGAAATTGCTTGCAAGAATGACGTTGGCCTTTAGAATGACGAATTTGGTTGCAACGTTTACGGAATGGATTTTAGGTTTACGAATTGATTAGGTTTACGAATTGGTGTGGACAACCATGTAAGATTTTCAACAATGCTGGTGCCAGTACAGTTAAAAATTGCTCGGGAAAGGAAAAGCGAGGAAAGTTTATTATTTGAAGGAGGGTTCCACGATAAGCTTAGAGGTCCAAGAGGGGGGACATTCTGAGCGAAAAGGCAGGCGGGTTCTCTAATTGTGAGAGACGTTAGATTTTTGAAGAGTGTGCTTGCGGAGGCCTTACACGGCTACACCAGCACCGCTCGCGCCGCCGCAGCTCCAAGTCTTAAGCCGATAACACGGCGAGGTAGGCGTTGAAGAGGTCTGAACCACTGATAACCGCCTCGGAAACTACGGGCAAAGGAGGGGTTGTGGATTCTGGGTCGATTTTCATGGCTTTTTCATGCCTATATCAGTGAGCATCCCTACCTTGACTTCTTTGACTTTACTGCATTTTCATCGTAAATTCGCCATCAGATAAAATTTAGGGAAACTACGACAGTCGACCACAACATGCCAAGGGTTCGGATAGTGCCTTGCCAATTGAATGTCACAAAGCTACGAAATTCAGGTAAACAGTTCGATGAAAATGGAGACCAACGAGATTGGTGGAAAAAGAAGTGGTCAAAGCAGCACGACGAAAAAGAAAATTGTTACGAAGAACAATACAGGAATGTGATAGTGAGCACATATCATGAAACTTATTGCAGTGCAAGTGCTATATAAGGCTTGAATCCTGTGTCGCTGCTCTGCGCAGCACGCACTTGTTTGTTAAGCTGGTGTCGGACTTTGCAAATCTATCGAACCACTAACGTATCGTGGAGTGAGAGCGATGCATCAACGGCTCACATGATGAACCGATGGCTCAAATGACCTATCGGCGACATGACAGTGTTTGTGTGTGGCGGAAGCTCCTCCCTGACTCACTCTCGCATTTTTCAGTGCTTGAGAGAACATGAGAGAGCGAGAGGGCATGAAAGCCCGGGAAAGCAGCGAGAGTGAACATGCGAAAGTGAGAGGCGTTCGCCACTTTCAAGCATTATCAAGACGCTGGTACATCGTTTAAGCTGATGTTGCATAGTTTGATCCGCTGGCGCATAGTACAAGCACTGGCGCATCGCTCGCACTCCGCTATTCGCTAGCGCTAGCTTCCCAAACTCCAACGATGGCCTTACGAACAAACCCCATATGTGCTTTTGTAGTTTGTATGAGGTGGTCCAGGATTTCTGCAACGAATTACATTTAACGCTATAAGATTTTTAAAAACTCTAAAACTTCCGCCATGATTAGTGGCGTGAACTCCACTTTTGCAACAAACAATCGAACAACTCTTCTCGCTACTTTGTTCTAGACGTCACATTAATTTCGCAATAAGCTCTGTTTGACGAACCACTCGGAATCATCCTCAAAAACAACTCTAAACATTAACCAAAAGATGCCCTCAACCCCCAGCGCTTCACTCTGCTCAGTGCTGATCTTTTTTATTTGATAGTGATGCGCACACTAATCACCCCGCAAATGACAGTCGCGATTCTTCACCT